TGCAGCTCCTCTAAAAGCTGAGCTAACTGGACTCCAGGGGTAGCAGTCATTCTGCCAGCAGCTTGTTGACACGTCTGTGGTTCTTCAGCCAAGTGTGAGACACCATCACTGTCAGAAACCTCCAACTTTACAAACTGGAGTCTGGTGTGAACAGTGTTTCCACTCAGCTGCTTGTAATTCCAGTTGAAAAAGTTTAACGTGAGCCACCCCAGCCTCAGACACCAGAGTGGTAACGTTCTCCTCGTCCCACTCGTCACCAGAAAGCAAATTTCCCCCAGTGTGAAACAGGGAACAAAGGTGTGATACCTGTCTGTTGTGAAGCTGTCTGTCCACATAGATCTGTCCCTCAGTGATGTAACCGGTCAGGTCAGGGATGGGGTGGGTGATGTCTGAGAGACACAACAACACATTGCAGGAACAACGCTGCGTTCATCAGCATTAGACGTGTGCATGCGTTCGTGGCAGTGAACCTACCATCATTGGGCATGGTGAGGATGGGGATCTGGGTGATGGAGCCGTTGCGTCCTTCCACTCTGCCAGCTCTCTCGTAGATGGTGGCCAGGTCGGTGTACATGTAGCCGGGGAACCCTCGGCGGCCCGGCACCTCCTCTCTGGCTGCAGACACCTGACACGGTGAGTAAACGCACAATGTAGTTCCAATTTCATGCAGCCACTTCAGAATGAAAGCACTGAAACCGTGGCTGACCTCTCGGAGAGCCTCGGCGTAGGAGCTCATGTCGGTGAGGATGACGAGGACGTGCTTCTCACACTGGTAGGCCAGATACTCTGCTGATGTCAGAGCTAAGCGAGGCGTGATGATTCGCTCGATGCTGCAACAGAGAAGGGAGCTCGTCTTCTTCCTGCATTAGCCAACTGGGCACCAGTTTTTAAACACATTCATATCTGTATTATCAAAAGTCTCAGAGTAGGAACTCACTCCTAACTGGCCAGTGTAGGAGCTCCAGTGATGTCCTAACTGGTCAGGGAGGTGGTGTTCAGGCAGAGATTCAGAGGGAGGAGAGATGTTTTACCAACAGCTAATGAAAAGATACGGTTTGGATCGAAATGGAGACGCCTTTGTGGCGGATCCTGTGCAGGTCGAACACCGAGCTCACTGCAGCTTTTTATTAATGTGCAACCGTGATGATTTGGGTCTGTTTCAGCCACAATAAGCCAAACTAAGCACTCTCACCGCAGGTAACATGCACATTCACTGCTGAACATAAAACAGCTGCTTATGTCATCACATTGAAATCACCCCGATGCTTCTGCGAATCGAAAACGTTCTCACACGTTAACAAGGAGTCTTTGATTTAAAAGGCTGAGGAGCATCACCTCCTTCAGCCAAGTCACATTAGGAGTGGCTTCCACTAAATGTGCAGCAACAGAGCCTTTTGTTATCTTCTCATAAAGCCTCCAGGTCCTGCTCTTTAGTCATGGGTGGACTTTCAACGCAACTCTGAGACTCTTGATAAATACAAGTGACGTGAGGAGGACACCTGATCCACTAAATGTTATGACTCACAAACAGTGAACCTCCTGGTCCGATCACAGACTGTACTCTGGTCTGAGGGTTAGGTTTTACTGGGCCATTAGTCGGGTGTGTGCCATGTTTCTCCAAGTAAAAGATGAATTTCAGTTTGGTACAAAAACTAGAGGCACAGGACTAACATGACATTATCTATCTCTCTAGCTTTGTGTTATTCAGGAGCAGGAGGATTGTTCCCAACCAAAAACAGAAGGTGTGAAGTCAAAGCTCATACGTGGGGTCGTTGGCCAGGTTGAGGAACAAACACACGTTGTCCATGGAGCCGTTCTCCTCGAAGTCCGACTTGAAGAACCTGGCTGTCTCCATGTTCACCTGGCGGCAGACAAACCGTGACAAAAGTGAATCACCTCAGTAAAAATACGACTCCTACGGTCTCTATGGTGACCTCATCACTTTACAGTTTCTACTTCACGTCTGTGTGAACATCTGGAAGGACAGCACAAAATGTGAAATGACATCTCGGCTTTAATGACATAGACCCAGTCTTAGAGTGGGAAAGCAAAGCAGAACCAATCACATTTGCCTTCTGGTTCTGGGAAGTTCCTGCTTACAGGTCAGTCCATCCCTGTTGTGGAAAAGCAACGCAAATGTGCCATGAATGCAGAAGAAGTTAAAAACTTGGTGACAGTTCTCTGTAGGCCATAAGTTTAAAGACAAAGGAACAGAGGTGGAACACTTCTGTCTTGTTAGTGGGGGTGTCAGTGGTTGTGGGGTCGGGGGGGCTGTGTTTAAATACTGTATATACTGAGGATTGGTGGAGACCTGTTGAAGCTAAAACGGTCCAGCTGCTCTGTCAAAGTGTCTGCTGAGAAAGACGTTCTCACCCCCATGGCTGCAAACACGATGGCAAAGTTGTCCTCGCTGTAGTCCATCACGTCCTTGGACTTCTTCACCAAACCGGCCTGCCGACAGATCTGAGCCGCGATCTGACCAGCATTGGGGGGCGGGGGGAGACAGAGAAACCTTGTTGTCATCATCAACATGTGAAACAACTTAGCGGTTCAACTTTAGCCTGGTTTACAGAACATTCTGAAAATATCTGAGACAGCACCGTCCCAGATGATGTGTGTGTGCACCTCGTTGTGTGGCAGCCCTGCAGCAGAGAAGATGGGTATTTTCTGGCCCCGGGCGATGCTGTTCATGCCATCGATGGCAGATATGCCGGTCTGGATCATCTCCTCGGGGTAGATGCGACACTGAGGGTTTATAGGTTGGCCTAGGATATAAACAAGTGAATGAGCAGCAATGGTAGGAAACACACTCTCCTATGGGTGCTCAACCACCAGGAGAACCCCAGAGATCTCCCACAAGCCCACAAGAACCTTCTAAAGAACCACTAGAGCCTCTGTTTCCTGTCTGTCCAGGGATGGTGCCTCTGTTGCTCCTCCTGAGGTTTCTTTAGGTCTCCTGATCTGATTCAAGGGTCTAAGGATAGAAGGTGTCCCATGGACAAGTCCCTTGATCTGTGATACTGGGCTACAGAAATAAAATTTGACTTGAGTTTCATGCATGACGAATGTCAGGATTTGATGCTTTGATGCTAAAAATCTTTGGGCTCTGGAAAACAAGGAGTGAAATCATCTCCTTGGGCTCTGGGTAATCCCACCAGGCATTTTATAGACAATCAGTTAAAATAACAGTCCGATGATTTGCTAATGAAAACGTTACTGACTGCTCTTCTGGTTTTCCTCGTGCAAACCCAATATTTCCTGTTGCTTCACCATCATTAGAAGGTGAAGCTGCAGGTCATTACACGTTAACGTGTGGAGCAGAAAGAGTCGCCGTACCCATGATGTCCAAGAAGTCCTCAGCCAGGACTGCAGGGCCTCTGTCGATAGGTTTCCCAGACCCATTAAACACACGACCTGCAGACACACAAACACAGTTCATCACATTGTAATCACAGATTCTCCGACACATTCATGTGTGAATGCAAGTGAATCTGCAGTGCCTCAGTTAAATGGTTGTGACAGTTAGTGTGTTGTGTCGTACCCAGCATGTCCTCGGAGACGGGTGTCCGTAAGATGTCTCCTGTGAACTCACAACTGGTCTTCTTGGCGTCGATGCCTGAGGTCCCCTCAAACACCTGTGTGGGGGAGCAAACGGAGGCTGTGGGTAGCCACACCTGACAAGAAAGGCCGGGTGTATCCTGCAGATTTTGGCTGCTGGTCACAAAAATGACCTTTCAATTTACTTATCACATGCTGTTCTTTTTTTGAAAGCCTTATTTGTTTTTGCTATTTCTCTCACATTTTAATCTATTAATGTCTGTTTCCTGTTATATGATGAAGCACAACATGTCAGTGAAGTGTCATCGTCTGCCTTCACACAAATCCTGGTGATAAAACTAGATGAACAGTCAGAGGATCCACAGCGCTGCTACAGTTTATCCTGAGGGGAACATGAATGTCTTACACCACAGTTTGACATAAAGGTTCAAGTAGCTGAAATATTTCTGAGGTTAGTGTTTGAAAAATCTTATTTTGCAGTTTCACACTGATACAAATAGCAAATAGCAAAATATCAGTTCATTAAAATGAGCTTTTATCAGCTGCATCACTGAAGTGGTGTGTAAGTTAATGCGTCAGTAATTAACCTCCAATACCATAATATACACATTCTAAAACGTGCCAGTCTGCAAGACGACTACTTTTACTTTTGGTACTTCACGTATATTTTGATGCTAATACTTTGGTACTTTTTCTTGTAACAGAGACGTTTTATACTGGAGCATCACTATTGTTACTCAGGTAAAACATCTGGGGACTCTTTCCTCCAGCCATACCGTCACAGCACTGGCATGCTTTACCTCTCACACACACACACACACAGTACCTGCACCACAGCCTTGGACCCGATGACCTCCAGCACCTGCCCGCTCCTCTTGGTTCCATCCGGCAGGGTGAGATGGACGATCTCTGCGTACCTCGGAAACTGTTGGAGAGCAGCACGACCATGAGCATCAGCAACAGCAATAGCCCAGACTCTGAGGGGCACGGTTTGTACTGCACGTTTGATTATGTGTCAGGAATACGGGCTTAGAAAAGGTCTTGCAGTTTTCAATTTCACTTGAATTCCTAAAAAAGAACCCATACTACTTCCTCTCATGAGAAGGGGAGGCTGTAAAATCAGGCCACAGGTGAAAGAATACGACTTCTGAGATGTGTGCTCATCCTTACCTTGACCTGATCCAAAATCACCAGCGGCCCGTTGACTCCAGACACTGTTTTATAGGCTGAGGAGGCAGAAGACAGAACGTGTTGACACCAGTGCACAGCGAGTGCTGACAGAGGAGGATGTACTCAGATGTACAGGTGCTACTTCACCACATGTCAGAGACAAACCGTGTCCTTTTTACTGCACTACATGTACCTGGTACCTTCAGGTCCAGAATCAGGTGAATCAAACCAAACCCAGTAGACAGTAATCAGTCCCTATGATCCACTAGTATCTGCAGAATGTTCACTTTTCAGCTAATAATATTTATTTTAGTACCATTTAAGGTGCAGGACTTCGGTGGTACTGGGTATTTCTTCCACCACTGTTAGTGACAGCAGCTGTCAGATAGTAAATGTAAAGGAAGAACATTTCCCTCAGAAGCCAAAAAACAAAGTAGGCCTCCTCCCTCCTCCCTCAGACCTTAGTACCTGGCCTACATGCACCTGCTCCCACTGGTTTGGTCTGACAAACAAATCCACAAGACGTACCCACGTTTCGTAATGTTTACTTTAAAAGGATTAGCATATAAAATCGTGGCAGATCAGTGAGAACCACCGCGCACACCCTGGATGAGTCAGGAGAAGGTCTCCCGTCCATCATCCCTTCCAGACGGACTGCTGCCCTTCTCTCCTCCTTATCGCCGCCGTGGCCCTACCTCACTGACACACAGAGGGACTCACTGAGGCGGGGCTGGGATATATAATCCCGACGCACGGCCATCACATGCTCCCGGGCGGCCGGAGCGGCGGCCGTGGGTCTGTTCCCGCTGACGGCCGAGGACAGCTCGCTCATGGCTCCGTTCACCATCCCTCTGAGCGCCTTCATCGCCATGTTTGCACCTGCAGCAGCCGCAGCAGCGTCAGAGTCGTGACAGCCGGGGCGCATGCGCAGTTAGCGCACCGGCTGCATCGTGAGGGATCCTGAGGATGCTGAGCGACTGACCAACCAAACTGTTTCAGTTGGTCTGTAAACTGACTCACTGTCAGTGGTTATACTGGGCCAGAGCGGTCCAATCCACTTCAGAATAACATTTATTCCTCTTCTCTTCATGGTTTACTCTAATTTACTCCCCACAAACTTAACCGGGGCACTGGACAGGTATTTTTACAGGCCACATCTCCTTCCACTTGTGGTTTAGTCCTAATATTTGATTGCTAACCACCTTTTTAACCAACTGATCAACTCTACAGTGATGGTGAATTCAGAGGTGCAGCACTGACAGAACCATGGAGCCAAAACAGGCAGGGGCCTCAAACTAGCACAGGATTTTATACCGTACCTTATCATTTGAAGTCGATCACTGAGGCCTGAGTCAGACGCTGGTATTGTTTTAGATGTAATAAAGAGGCTGCTCCCTGTGAAAGGACCCCGTGGTTTCATTCAGAAGTCACATTAGGGGAATAGAGAATGACATGAAGACAGTCTGGGAAGCAAACAACAGATTTCTGTGACTAACCTGCTAACAGGGTTTCACAATGGTTTATTATTGATATGTTTAACACAACTAAGATTCCACATGAGCAGCTGCTGCCGCCATGTTGGTACAGGGAAGCCTCCTGGTGCACTGATAAAACATAACTCGCTCAATTCACAACCAATTTTCCAGCTGTTTGCTTTGTTACAAAAGTCAAAGTGTTTATTCATCATATGCACAAAAGTCAGATCAATAGAAGAACTTTGTTACATTAAAACGTGCACTTCCCTACTAGTGACAGTGAAATTACCCTTCATAAGTAGTTTCTATTTATTCTTTTGTTGCTACCAGGACGTACTTTTGTTAAAAAATAGACGTGTGATAAAAGAAACAATCCCAACAAATACTAAAAGATACATTCTTGAAGTTGTTTTTGTTACTTTGGTAGTGAAATGTTTCTATTACATTTTAATGTAAAGTCACATTATATAAAATAAAATCACAGCATATAACTGTAAAGAAAACACTGTCAAATATCACATCACCTGTGAAACATGTGGCATCTACACTGTTCCCATCTGTGATGTGGATGAACTGTTACTCAACGTCGTAACGACAGTCACCTTGTTAGCAGAGTAACATGCTGAGACGTCACGTGCAGACCAGGCTCCACTGTACTGACTGTATCAACAGCCACCAGAGAAACACGCTTCTCCTCTCAGGTCAGCTGTGTGGACGCAGTAAAAGGTGAAATGGACCCGATGGTTAGAAAACGAGGAGTCATCAGCAACACTGGAGAAACACTCGCTACCCATCAGTCCCTGCAGTCAGACGCAGAGGAGCAGCACCGTGCTTGTTTACCGTGTTCTTGTGCACCGACACAGAACACACACCTGTACTGGATTAGAATTGACCTGTTGACCTTCAACAGTCAGACAAACAAGTCCAAATTTCACTGGTTCCGAACATGAACCTTCACTTGTGACGGTAAACTGATGGTGTTCGTCTCTCTGTAACGGTGCGATGACATATCTCAGTTTAACTTCTACCTTTTTAAAGAACAAGCTACTAATGGTTTCAGACAATACTCAGCAGATTAATGGAGACGGCTGTTCAGGACAAGCTGCCTGCAAGGACAGGGTTAACCCCGACGTGGAAGAGCGAAGCCGTGCTGGTGGGAAACACAACAAAAACACGCGTCACCTTTATTCTGCTTGGAAAAGAGCGATGGACGACTTGTCTGCCCTGAGCTCAGGATGGACAAGGCACATTTTGATCTCGTCTAACAAACATCTGGTTTCGTGTCCTTTTAGAACAAAACTCCCTCCTGCTGTTACCATTAGTCTGCACAGCTCGGGCCAGGGAACCACCACAGGGGGTGTGATGCTACAAACAATACAGCTCACTTTAAAACCAACATTACCCCCCCACCCCCGCCCTCTCAAACCAGACAGTGGTGACAGTCTCACAGGTCAAAGCTGAATCAGGAGGCAGGTCAGTTTCATGCAGACATGAATGAGAATTCTGGTCTGACTGCACGTTGACAGCCAACAGCTGTCTGTGCTGAACAGACCCGTGAACTACACACCATGCACTCTGCACGAGCACAAGTACACCACACTAATGCACCAGGACAATTTCAAGGTCAGAAAAACAGCAAAGTGTCCGAGTGCGGTTTGGCCTGGTGGCTGCTTCGCCAGAGAGACGGGGCGAGCACTGCGTTAAAGTGGGACGCCACCTCTCACCGGTAAAGGGTTTTGTAATTTCAGTGACCCGACTGTTTAGACATGTGGGTTAATGAGAACAGCAGGCGGAGGTGTAAACCCAGATCAACTGACCCAGATTCAGGCTGGAGCTTTCAGCTGTTAGCGACTGGGTATACCTCAGTGTCCTGGGGTCCGCCTCATGTAGACAGGACTAGCAGGGCTGGGTCACTGTGCGTTGTAGTGATGCTTCATTCTGGGACCGGCCCACCTCTCCTCAGGTCCATCACAGCTGCTGGACGAGTAGGCCCAGCGTGGGGAGTACTGAGGCAGGGCAGGAGGGAGAGGACCTCTTCTTCTGTCCATCTGTAGGCGGGGGTCTCGACTCCACTGTGAATCTGGTGAGGAGTATCTGGACCCGCCCTCCCCGGGGTAGGGGGCTCCTCTACCCCACTGACTGTCACAGTGAGGGGGGGTCCATCGATACGGGTGGAGAGGGAGAGGGACTCTCATGGGTGAATAAAAAGGAGGTGGAGGGAGGAAGGCCTCACGTGGAGGGCGGAGATGTGAGCAGGGGTTCAGTCTTTGAGGAGGGACAGCTCTGCAGGAGGAGAGAGAGGAAGAGCAGGACAGACGAGGTGAGGACAGAGAGAAACCCTGGGGTCGGGCGACCGACAGAGGCTGGTTTAAAACAACGGGCCTCGTTCACCCACCGACCCCAAGAACAAATTTGTCTGTAAAACCCACATACAAAGTTTTCACCAGCATTGACCTGTTTCCTTACCGGGGACTCGTTCTTAGGTTAGAACAGAATCGACACACTCACGAGCACGCTCATGCACATATGGGTGTGAAATAACTGGTTGTTTATTTTCTTCAGTTCTTGTTTAATATGATAAGATTTAAGTTCCAATAACAGTTTTGTCATTATGAACCACAGAAACTACCAGGGGGGTGCAGGATCTGGTCTGGCTCTGAGCTGAAGGACTGACCCCCCCAGCAGCAGAGGACAGACGGAGCAAAGATGAGAAACAGTCTGTGGACAACATCAGCTTCAGGGTCCGACTATGGAGGAAAGCATGGCTGTACAGAAACGTCAACTGTGTCTCATGTTTAAACTGTTCATTCCACCTGCAGACTCTCTCTGTGAAGGGCTGTGGGTTTTGTTTAGTACAATAAGGACTGTGTGGTGGGGTCAAGGACAGGACAGGAACGATGGGGACAAGAACAGCTCGCCTCCTACCTGCGGAGCCTGGGCTCACTAAGGTGTGGTCGGCTCTCCTTCCTGCTATCAGAGGCTAGTGAAGAGTAACACGGCCGATGCACGGCGGTACCTCTCTCTGGCACCCGCGCACACTCGTCTATCCCCTTGTTGCTAGTTAGAAAACACCACAAGGAACAAACCAGTAAAATCCTGGATAGTCAAGTACAAATCATCTGTGTAACATAATGAATGATATGGTTCATGAGTGACGAATGGTTCCCTGCTGGTGCTACAACTCGACCCTGTTTTCAGCCAGTACTTGTTAATCATTTTCAAACAGTCCCAGTTAAAAGCAGCAGAATGAGCAGCTCCTGCATGTGGTGTCCTCATGGATGTACAGACAGCGCTCAGTGGGTCACTGAGACTGAAGGGGCAATAGAAAGAGGAGGATTCTCAAGTGGGTTCTGCAGCTTTTATTCTATTTCTCTGTGGATTCATGGACATTTATTCATGATGGGCAACAAAGATGATGATACACTAAATCTAAAAATGTGTTTGTTTATGTCCAGATTTAACGGGTTCAGTTAATCGGTGCAATTTGTGATGCACATCATGGCAGTCGTACAGTATATGTGAGACTTATTACAGTGAGGAACAGAAGTATTTGAACACCCTGTGATTTTGAAAGTTG